TATTTTTTTGGTATAAAATTAAACTTGGAATAATGTAGTCAGAGAAGTTGATTACATAAATTTGCTCTCATTTTTTTTTTAGCAGGTGCTTTGGTTTGCACTAAATTGTTCTTTGTTAATATCAATGTGTAGTATTATTTGGTTTTCTTTTCTCTTATGTGCCATTATTAATTTTAGAAAGTATCTGTACTGATCCAGTATTTAATTCCAATAAAACTTGACATGTTTACTTTTTAATATGATTATATTGTATATGATTATATATGTCATACTTATCTTGTAGATGTTGAATGTTAAAAAAAATTAATCTCACAAGATGTTTAACTGATTTTATTTTACTCTATTTAAAATATAAGTGAAATAAATTTTATAATTTATACTTTTTATTTATAATGGAAATAGAAATAAAAGTATGAATGTAGCAAAGAAACATTTGTATACATTACCTATTGGGGATAATATAATTTGGCAAACAGGGCTTAAGATGTCTGTATTTCCATTCATATGCATTTCTCTAAAGAAACTCAATTTCCTGGAAGACAGTAGTGCAGTCTGATTGTATAACTTGTCTAATCAAATATGAGAGATAGATGGATTAATGTAAGAAACAACTTCACTGAGTATAATATTGGCTACCTGCCATTTTTAAATGTTCCCCAATTTGGTCCCAATTCTGTTAACTAGTGTGCATTAAATTGAATGCATTTAAGTCTCTAAGTGTTCTAGGTAGTTTAAATAATGTGGATTAAAGTATTATAATATTACAGGTATAACACTAATAAATCTTCAATAATTATGTCTCGAGCTTTTAACAAAACTGGATGATCTATATTTATAAAGAAAGAAAACATGCAATAGAGTTGCTGCTGTAAAATGTATGATTTAATGCACAGAAATACTTTGATATTAGGAACTGAAGTGAAATATCTGGAAATCATGTTGCTATGACTTTTTACAATCACAACATGATTTGTGGTGGTAGAATTTGACCAATTCTTTAAAATAAAATGTTTCTTGGACACTGGGTGGACAAACTGGTACACACACCTGTAATGGAATACTGCTCAGCACCAAAGGGGACCGAACTATTAATGGATGCAACAACATGGATGTAATCTCAAATGTCTCCTGCAAATTGAAGGACGGCAACCATGAAAGGCTACATATTTTCTAACTCCACTTACATGACATTTTGGAAAAGGAAAAAATACAGATACAAAAAAAGATCAGTGCTCACCTTGACAGGACATGCACTGAATTTGGAATGACACAGAGATTAGCATGCCCACTGCTTAAAGTTAGTATGACAATTTATGAAGTGTTTCATAATTTAAACAAAACAAAACAAAAACAAGCAGATCTGTGATTTCCAGTGGTTGGTGTGAGTGAGGTGTTGACTACAAAGGAACATCACTAGAGAATTTGGGGATTGATGGAACTGTTCTTTATACTGACTTTGATGGTGTTTACATCATTATATTGAAGAGTCTAAACTCATGAGACTCTTCATCAAAGAGAATAAGATTTATTACATATAAATTTTTAAAAAGTAAATTAAGATATAGTGTGGTTTCTAGAAATAAATTATTTAAGTTACTTTCCTCTAAATTGATGCTAATTATATACTTATTTAAATTTTCTTTATGCTACAATTTCTATATCAATTTTATAGGCCCTTTTCCATCTATACGTATTCCCTGTTGCATAAACTAAAAATTTTAATACATAATCCCAATGATATACTCATATGTTCATTGTACCCAAAGTACTTTCATAGAATTTGAAGGTAATAATTTTGCATTCAGATGAAGAGTTTAACATTTGCTACTTTAAATATCTAGTCACATAAAAGTTTCACATGGTTTAAAGGTAGATTTATTTCAATGATGAATATAGTGATATTTCTCATACTTTAAACTCCTCTTAATTATTCCATATCTTTCCATCTTGAGTAAATCTACTAGAGTCTCTTACTTAAGAAGAATACTTGCATATTTTTTGTTTACACATCCAAAACTTCTATTACATATGTACTCTATCTGTCTTGCTGCTTTTTTAATTTTAATCTTCATTAAACAATCTGCCTCCAATTCTATCAGTGTTTTGCTGCAAAAGGGGTGTCTATATTATGGGATATTCAAAAATTGAAAAATTAAAGATAGTTATTTTAGTTTACTTGTTCCTTCTAGGGAAGTTGTTAGTTGTTCTGAAACCCTAAGGTTATTCCACTTATTATTCATTATTTTCAACATAACATTTTTAAGAGCCTACTTTATCCCAGGCACAGTTCCACATCATGGGGATACGTGATTAATACAACTTAAGCGCTGTTCTCAAGGACCTAGAAAGAGGTACATAAAGGAGCAATTATTTCATAGAAATGACTACAAATATTATGTGAGAGCACATAGAAGGGAAAGATGATCTTGGCTTCAGGATTTAAGAAGGATTTTAGAGTTGTGGCAATTACTTTGGGTCTTGCAGAATAGGTATGTGTTTGCTGTGATGATACAGCATGGCAAAGGCCACGACAATTGAGCAAAGAACATGTTCAAAGATGAGCAGAGGCAGAAAGTTAAGCCACCACCAGCTATGGAACAGTATGAAAGGTAACCAGTTTGTAGCACTTTACAAGTCCTAAACTAGAAGAAAACATGGCAAATGCTATATGAATGTTAGTTCATTGTTTTCTTTTTATCATATTGGTATTATTATTTTAATGGATATATATTTTTCAGATGTGTATGTGAATTTATTTGAGAGATGCACTGCTGAAATTATATTGATATGACACTTTAATAGAACAATTTTCAGTAGCTCCAGATTTTTTGTCCAACATGTTACTATTTATTTAAGGACCTGAATCTTTTCTTCTCTTTCTTCTCCTGTTCTTTAATTTCTCCTCTTAGACTTTATTCTCTTTCTTTTTTCTCCTCTTCTTCTAGAACTTTAGTTTCTTACAGTAATTGATAACTTGATCAGTAAAGATTTGAAATCTGGCACCTACATTTGTCCAGCAACATTGTCCAAAATAATTTATCTCTAATAGATAGTGGTTCATGTTTTCATCTTCTGTTGCCAAGTCTTCCTCGTACAATAGATTTTCTGAATCTCAGTAGACCATTACACTTGCACCATCTACTAGAAATATACAAGAAGTTAAAGAATGCATTAAGTTCTTCTCGAATTGCATGTGATTCAATATATATTTCATAATAATGTTTTACACGAAGCCAAAGGTTTTTACAATATCTCTATTTCTAAAAACATGAACATTTGGCTTGGAACTGAAAAGTCTGTTAATTAATTTTGAATTATTCCATCTACTTCTCTTAGTATAACTGAGAAGAAAGTGGAAAGCACATTAGCTACCAATAATCACAAAAACATTAATAGTCCTTTCTAAACCCCATCCCAGTGATGCCTCTCATTTTAATTTACAAATGACTTCTCTACATTTATTTAAATCCTTTTACAAGATTGTTCTTTTAGAATGTACAATATTTTCTAAAGATTATTTATTTTCTATTTTTAAAAATGATATTTGTCTTCCTACTCTTTAAATGAATAGGTAAATTTCCTCTAATATCTGAGTAAAAAAATCAGTCTGTTTATCCTTCTTGCCCTTTTCCTCTTCCTTTTCCAATTTCTTCTTCCATTACCATCACTTTGCTCCCTGTGCAGTTATAAATCTTAGCCTAGAAAACATCTTTTATTTCTCTGTTTTTTTTCTCTTCTGCTCCATGCTAATATATTTAAACATGTTACATCTATATTCATAACTTTTTACTTACATTTCTGGAAAAAACACCCTAATTGATCTGTTGGCTCTCCCTGTTATCATTATCCTGCCAAACTTTCATTTCTAATCCAGCACAGAGCCACTAAAATACAAACTTGTGTCTGTCACACCCTACCACATTTCCACTCCCTTGTGTTACTATCCCTTAACAATCTTCACCTCATTGAGGGTAACACAAATCTACAGAATGTTATGGGTAGTTTCCAAAATGACAGTGCTTACAGTAAAGATGAGGTATAAAAGAAAAAAGAAAAAAAGTTATAGTACTACTTTCAAAAGCTGCTTTATGGTGTTTTGTTTGTTTGTTTGTTTTTATTTTTATAATTGGGGTATTCTAGTGCCCTCTGTAGGTGTGACCAAGGCTGTAAGAATACCACAAAGTAAAAATTGGCCTGTATCTCATAAGTTTTGAATTTCCATTCATATAATCAAGTAAGTAAAATAACATAAGACAAATAAAAACAAACAAAAATCAGAATCATTTATAATTAATTAAGCCTAGATCTAAATGTTTTTAACATATAATGACCAGGTATTTTAAAGTTTTTATATACTCTTAATTTTCCTATGACCACATAATTTAATCAAAAGAGGCTGGGGGAATGGACACAATTGAAGCTCTGACTTGGGTGGGGCAAGGGCAATATATGTATCCTAAACATTTGTACCCCCCAAATATACTGAAACAAAAAAGAAAAAAATAGTGGTAATGGTTAACATTACCTAAAGTTATAATACACTGTTTAAGCAAACCCTAAAGCACATATGACAGTGCCACTTGCGGTGCATGATTTATAAGCTTAACATACACAATCTACATTTGTAGCTGTCATGTGCAAATATACCACAGTGGAGATTTGGAACTACATTTGATGGACTTAGAAATAGGGTATATATAAATCACTTAAATATAATAATCACTTAAATAGAGGCACTCTTGATAGTAAAATGAAGTATTACGATAATTAGTATTTTACATTTTGAAATATTAAGATTATTATTAATTGATATTGGTGAAATTATAAAATAGTCATATTCAAACTAAATGCTTTCTAAAAATAGCATCTGTATTTATGTTGAAGCAATATTACATTACATTGATCAAATAGCCTTTTTTTAAAAAAATATTTCTACTTTTTGTAAATGATGGAATAACTTAATTAACATCCAAGTAACCCTTTTCTTCTACTATAAACAGCTTGAAAATCAAACAACTATGTGAAACAAATGGTTCCAGACATTGGACAACAGGAAGTGCAGGAATCAGAACCCAAAGAGAGGGAAACCAGGTGAGCCCTGTGGTCATCTGACTTTCTACCTGTAGATTCTTTTTAGACCCTGATGAGGAATGGGAAGCCTACACAGAGCAGAGGGGTCTTGCTTCCTTAGGAAGCCAGAGACTGGAGTTAAAGAATGCATAGATACTTGGAATTTGTGAAGCAGAATTGATTTACGATTGGAGGGAACTCAGGAAAGAAAGAACATCAGAAACGTCACTGAAATTCTCATTATTCTCTTCCTGGGTGGGATATGCATGAGTAGCATGCAAGTCTACTAGTCCAGGCAAAGAATGACTCAGAAACTGTTAACTGAACAATTCCAAAAACTCACAAGGGACTTTTGATATATTCAAATTCCAACCAGCCATACTGGAGGATTTCTAATGAATAACCAGAGGATTAAAAATAAGTTGAAGGAGGTCATGCCTTAGCAGTAGCAATAGACTAGCCCCAGATTAAAAGATACTACAAACCTGTTCTAACAAAGTTCAAATACTTGTGTGAAATGGTTCAGGTGATCCAAGAAAAATTATTTGTAAGGACAAAGTTCAACTCTTTAAAATGGCAACAACATACAACACACATCAACATAAAAACCAAAACAAAGCAAAGTGTCCATTACTTAATAAAAATCAATAAAGATGTCAAGAAACAGAAAAATGAGATGAATAACTAGAAGAAAAATGTTGAAAGACCCAGAAATGACAGAGATAACAAAATTGGCAACAACAGCATTAAAATAACTTTTCTAATTATGCACAAATATTTACAGAAAAATATGAGCATAATTAGCAGTAAAATGAAGGATATATACAAGTAACAAATTCAACATCTTCAGATACAAAATATATTGTCTGAAGTACAAAATTCACTAGATAAGATCACAAGTTTATATACTATAAAAAGAAGAAAACAATCACTGCATTTCAGAAAAGAAACAGAAACTAAGTTGAATCACAGAAAAAATACTAGCAAAAAGAAAAGAGCTTCTGTGAGCCAAAAATCACAAGAGGTTCTATTTACATGTAATTAGACTCTCAGTAGGGGCAGAGGTACTAAGAACATATTTGAAAAAAATGGTCAAAAATTACAATTTTATGAAGATTATAAATTTGAAGTCCAAGAGATTCAAAGAATTCCAAACTGGAGAAAAATAAAGAAATCTGCAACAAGAAATATCATAATTAAACTGCTGAAAACAGCTAAAATAGAAAATATTGGACATAAACAACAATGATACATTATGCAATGAATATAAAAGGATCAAATATAACTACAGACTTCTTATATAAAATTATTACAATGAGAATAAGTAATTGATGGAACAATTACAGAAATTCAATAGGCTGCAGAAGATTTGAACAGATTTAATTGTATCAACCAACTTAATATCATTAATCTTTAAAGAGCACTCTAATAACAGCACTATACATTTTTTCCAAGTGAACATGCAATACATTCACCAAGTTTAATCATATTATTGGCATTAAAACACATATCTATAAGTTAAATGGCCTGAAATAATACAGACTGTGTTCTACTATCACAATAGCATTATCAGAAATTATTAACACTAAGATATTTAGCAAATGACCAAACATTTGGAAAATGTACACAATTCTGGCTAGTTCTCAGGTCTCAGAAAGATTTCATAATTAAAAATAAGAAATAATTTTAACTGAGTGAAAACAAAAATATTAATAAATATACACAATATATCAAAATTGTGAGATTAAGCTTATGTAGTATCTCAATGTAAATTTATATTTCTAATTGTTTTCAGCAGCAAAAGAGGTCTAAATAAATGGTCTAAGTATCCACATTAAAAAACAATTAAAAGAACAACTTGAAGCCAAAGTATGTGGAACAAATAAAAATAAAATAATTGGAAGTTAACGTAACAAAAAAACATTAAAAATTAAAATTTAATTTAATTTAATTTGAAAAATACAACCATTGGTTTTATTAATCATGAAACAGGGGTAAAATTAATAATTTTTGCTAAACCAATAAAGCAGTAAAGAGAAAGACACACAGTATCAACATTAGGCATAATAAAGGCACTTTACCACAGAGCCTAAGAAATTAAAATGATAATAAAGAATATTATAAGAAGTTTATGCAACAGCAAGGTTGATGAAATGTACAAAACTTTTTTTTAATATAATTTCTTAAAAATTTTTACAGGTTCAGGGAGTACAAGTACAGTTTTTTTTACATGAATGTATTGCATAGTGCTGAAGTCTGGGATTTTTATAACCATTACTTGATTAGCGTACATCAAATGAGTTAAATAATTTCTCATACCACTGCCCCCCTTCTGTCCTTCCACCCTCTTGAGTCTTTAATGTCAATATTTCATAGTCTATGTGCATATGTGCACATTATTTAGCTCCCACTTATAAGTGAGAATATGTGGTGTTGGACTTTCTGTTTCTGAGTTATTTCACTTAAGATAATGGCCTCCAGTTTCATCAATGTTGCTGAAAAAGACATGTATTCAGTTTTTCATGGCTGAGTAATATTCTATGGTGTGTGTGTGTGCGTACACACACACATATATATACATGTATATATACATATATATGTATATATACATTCCACATTTTCTTTATCCAGTTATCCATTGACATTGATGGACAGTTGGGTTGATTCCATATCTTTCCTATTGTGAATAGTGTTGCAATAAACATAAGAAAGCAGTTATCTTTTTGATACTTTTTTATATATATATATATATATATATATATGTTCCCTTTGGGTAGATACCCAGTAGTGGAATTGCTGGATTGAATGGTACTTTTATTTTTAGTCTTTCAAGAAATATCCACACTGTTTTCCATAGAGGTTGATCTAATTTACCTTCTCATCAAAAGTATATAAGTGTTCCCTTTTTTCTGCATCCTTACCAACATCTATTGTTTTGTTTTTTTAATAATGGCCATTCTGACTGGTGTAAGGCAGTATTTCATTGTGGTTTTAATTTTCATTTCTCTAATGATTAGTGATGTTGAGCATTTTTTCATAAGTTTGTTGGCCATCTGTATATCTTCTTTGGAAAATGCCTATCCATGCCCTTTGCCCACTTTTTAATAGGATTGTTTGTTATATTTCTTGTTGGGTTGTTTGAGTTCTTTGCAGATTCTGGATATTAGGCTTTTGTCAGATGCATAGTATATGAATATTTTCTTCTATTCTATAGGTTGTCTATTTACTCTGTTAATTATTTATTTTGCTGGGTAGAAGCTTTTTAGTTTAAATCCCATTTGTCTATTTTTATATTTCTTATATTTGCTTTTGAGGTCTTAGTCATAAATTATTTGCCTAGGCCAATCCCAGAAGAATTTTTCCTAGGTTTTCTTTCAGAATTTTTAAAGCTTTAGGTCTTACATTTAAGTCTTTGATCATCTTGTGTTAATTTTTGAATATGGTGAAAGATTTGGGTATAGTTTAATTCTTCTCAAAACCTTTGAAAAACAAATGACCAAACTGATTCATGAAAATATATATAATATGAATAGTTCTATATGTATTAAAATATTGAATTTGCAATCAAAAACCTTCCTACATAATAACTTTTGCCGAAATAACCTCACTGGTGAATTCTATCAAATTGTTAATAAAGAAATAATACTAATGTTACACACCAAAAAGGAGTATTTTCCAACTAGTTGGAATAAGCAAATATTACTCTGATACTACTTTGCTTAATGCTTATACCTCTGCTTTTTTATATTCTCCTACTAATTTTCAAAATGCATTCCAATCTTTTTATTTCTTGAGTAAAAGCTTAATCATTATAAGTAGATGCAAGCATATAACCTCATATGGCTTTATTATGTAATAAGGGTCATGAATTTTAAGACAGACATTTTAAAATATACATACTCTTAGTAGACATTGCTATATTTTTATTCTTAACATTAAAGATAGCACATCATATTGAAGTTTTAAAAATTATATGTGCAAATGTTTCATTTCATATGAAATTTATTTCAAGAGAGTGAAAAGGAACTGCAATTTTTACACTGTAAATGGAATGATGGATCTGATAAATTTACAAACTACTGATGTTTATGATTCAGCTTCTGCCTCTACTTTGTGGTTCATTTACTTTCCTAAATCAATGAAGAGTTTCTAAATGTGTGATCCCACTTTAGTCAAAGTTACTTTAGAACTAGTATACCTTTTTTCATGAATCCAGTTCATTGTAATATTTCTCCTTCTTTCTGCCTTTCTGTCTCTTTATCTAAAAATCTATTTATCTTGCTCATACTCTTTTTTGTATATAACTCAATGCAAGTGTCACCTCTTCCAAGTTGTCTTATTTACACAACCTGAAAGTGTTACTTAGATGTTCTCTAATAAATTTGTATTACTTCCATGCATACTTCAACTACGGTGCTTTGCAAACTAGGCTGAAATATTTGATTAACCTTTCCATTTCTTCATTATATTTTAATCTTTTTTGGAATGGGGAAATACACTATTTTGTATTTGCAGCTCTATTGGTAATCTGAGTACTCACTTCAAATTATTTAAGAAGTGTAGACTGAGTTACATGGAAATAAACTAAATGGATTGATATCCTCCATCAGCATTTATAACGTGGCTGATATCATTACAATATACTTCAACATATCTTAAATTTTTGAGGGTACAGTTGAGGCAGAAGCTTTATTCTAAATTCTTCTTTTTGCATCATTGTTATGCAAGGGATCAGACCTGTTCTCCTACTGTTTTTTTAGTATATTTAAATTTAAGACTTGAAAAATGTCATTCTAAACTCATTTGATTTATCTATTATATTTCATAGCCTCCTTAAAGTTTTTACTTTTGTTTTCTGAGATGACTCTCTTAGCTGCTCACTCTTGAAAGCAGATGGTCCTTGATTTACAATGGTTCAACTTACATTTTTTTTCCCTCTGTGTCGGTGTGAAAGCTATACAGAGTAAATAGAAATTCAAGTACCCATATAACCATTCTGTTTCTCACTTTCAATACAGTTT